TATCTTTTAACCGATATTGGGTTTATTTCATGTGACATCCCCTAATTTCTCGGCCAGAAAAGACCGATTTAATTTATGCTTTTTAAAATCAAATCAGAGAAATCTTTATAAAAGATGTTGCGGAATTGGTCCCCAAAACAAAATATGATAAAAGTTTGTCAAAACCTTTCTTTAAGAAATATATAATTTCATTTTATATCAAAACTTCGGGATGTCATGTACCGATACAGATCAAAAGCATAAACAAGACATTATAAGCCTTTCAACAGTTATATACAACTACTGGCCTATAATCCAAAAATCTCACGTCATCCTTCGACTATGCTCGGGGTCCACTACCTGTAACATAAAAAGCTGAGTGGGTCAGGCTTGGGAGCCTGGTGAGCATATAGGGTTTTCAACCCACAATAATAATAAACTTATTAAGTTCACCAATCAACAATAACCCTGATTACCCGTTCCCGTTATCCTCACTTTACGTCCCTAAACACTTATCACAAGGGACCTAGCCTAAAGAATATCATCGGGATGGACACTACTGCTAAGGGGTTTCCTCAGCCATACATGTCCTAAAGGCAACCATGAGGGGGTGGAGTACAGCGAATGAACGCCCAAGTTCATTAACACCTACAGGTTGCGGGCCTGCTAGCGTTTCCCACTGGACTGTCTAGAAAACTCTGTGGTCGTCATCCAAACTCCGCTAGATGACTGAATCACAATCACATCGAGGCCTCTCATCACTTTATTTCATCACACACCAACTATCTACCCATGTTTTACCCAACATATTTGTAGATAAAAATACTTATACAGTTTAAAACTTGTATAAAACATCAACTCAACAGTCACCTCAAATAAACAATTAATATATTTACACATAGCACGTATTTTAAGGTAAATACTTCATATCTATGTGTAAAATGAAAGTGACTATACACTCACTTGATTTATAATCGGGCAGCAATTCGTTTCCTAAAATGTTCGTTTCTAATAAAACCGAGAGTTTTATTCAGAAACCGGGCTCTGCGAGGGTCGGGCTTCGAAACCGAAAAGATAAATTTTCCGGGCTTCTCGGGCTCTTCGTGGCGTATTCCGGCGGTTATAATCGATGTCGGGGCTTTGGGGGATGTTAAGATGAAGAAAATATGGAAAAAGGGGCTAAATGTGGCAAAATTCCAAAAGTAACCGAGAAGTCTCGCAAGCCCTCTATTTATAGCAAGTCCGAAGTCGGTGAAAGAATGGGGAGTCAGCATGCGAGGACACGCGGCAGCAGGGCGAAGGCGCGCAACACATGGCTCGCATGTGCGAGGGTCTCGGTGGCAACCGCTGATTGGACCGAGGTCTAGTCCGAGGCTTCGGACGTGGCACCCCCCTGCGAGACTCGGACATGTGATAGAAGACACGCGTCAGATCCTTAGTGGACCACTTCGGATTTGCTCTCCGGTTCGGATGACTCACGAAATCGGATGACTCAGCATAATTTCGGACACGTGTTGGATGCGAAGCGAGGACACATGGCCGAAGTCCACGTATGCGAATTTTCTCGTTTTTGGGGATTTTTCTCGATTTTCGCGCCAAAACTTCTAAAATCTATAACTTTCGCATACGAGCTCCGTTTTTGACGTTCTTTATATGCACGCGTAGGTAAAATTACGTTCTACAACTTTCATTTAGACTTCGTTGGCTAATTTTGAATTTAATTTTTATATTATTATTTTTAACAGACCGGGACAGGAAATCCGTTAAAAATTCATAACTTCTTCATCCGACGTCCGTTTTCCTCAGACTTTTTACCGTTGTGCTACTAATGACGAGACCTTCGATTCTCGTTTAGGTCGTGTCGGCTAAAAATCACTCGATCTAAAATTCGAGTTTTTAGCTGTCTATTGCTAAGCTGAAACGTCGAAAAATCATAACTTCCTCATACGAAGTCAGATTTGGGCGTTCTTTTTATACCTACTCTCAGTTTAACGAACACTACGAGTTTCGTTTAGATCACTAAGGCCAAAAAGTAGTTTATCGAAAACTCACTTTTTACGACATTCGGCCGCGTGCCGGTTTTGTCGCGAAATTCGACAGGTCATAACTTCTTTGTTATAACTCGGATTTCGGCATTCTTTATATATCCGTAATCCTTGTCACGCCCACTACAAGTTTATTAATAGATATCGGCTTTATCTAATATTTAATTTTGACGCTCATTTTTATTCTTAATTAATTAAACCGTAATAATTAAGCATAAAACACATAATTCACATAATATTCACATAATTCCTTTTCATTTCTTTAAAATGAGTTACAAAGGTTAACCTAGACTATAATGTCAATATTAATGTCTAGCCTAGAAACACGGGCATTACATTTCACCCCCTTCGGTATCTTTCAAATGGTATCGGATCTATTTCACCCCCTTCGGTCTCTTTCAACTGGTATCGAATATTTTTCACCCCTACAGCTAAGCATACAATCATATCAACAAGAGTCACAAAGACAACAAGCACATGCAGACATAATAATGAGTGTCACAAAGACAACTGTCATTCTACAAACATAATCCATTGGGTAGGTGTACTTGATGTACACGATGGATTCACATGGATCGGGATCCCAAGCACGTACGCTCAGCGTACACTTTCGTACGTCCCAGTTGGCCAAAACCTTCCTTTAAGGTCTTAATTCGTTAAGACCTAACGTCCAACTCCATATCTAGTTCTCTAGGGACGTCCTAAACAATATAGTTGGCAACTTTATCCTTTTGCATGTCTTAACGAGACTCAAACTATAGATTTAGCATTCTACTATCATTAAATGATTACTAACTCATGCGTGGTTGATCTACAACCATCAAGATACCAGCTTTATGGACCAAGGACCTCAAAAACATCAAAAGAAACATCTCAAAACATCTGGAGTAGCATTTACTCACAAGAGTTCATCCATGGGACTAAAATATGCTAGAATCTTCTCCAAATCTAGATCTAGGCATAGAATGAGAAAGGTCAAACTTTATACCTCCAATAAGCTGGAAAGATTGAATAATCCCTGGATCTACAAGCTCCCACTTTAACATTTAGAAATTAACTCATACCTGGAACGAGTGTTACAACCATGCCACCTCCCATTATTAGTATACAACATCACATAATCCTCTTCAATAGCATACAATTTCTCATGATGCTTTTGCCTCACAATACTAATCAACCGATTATTAAAAAAAACAGAAAGTGCAAATGGCTCATTGGACACCCACTCTTCATTACATAAGCCATTGTTACTTGTAGTGTTTATCCTCGCCATTTCTTTTCCAAAGAAACCCTACAATTACCTAAAGACAAATAAAACGTCGATTGGTTCTAGATTCAAACATGCCTCTTTGAATTTAAATGATAACTTGTTTTAAATGACTTTATTTTAAATCGTATGTTATGGAAAAATATGGTTCCATAGCCTTAAATACTTTAAAATCCACTATTCAAAATATTAAACTTGAGGGTTTAAATACAATATCATAACATAAATCCAAGGAACCACCACACACCCATGACCTCCTCTAATATCTTGAGTCACTACTTTCACACGAATACGCCTTTAATCTTACGTCATTAGTAATAGTGAAATCATAAAAAGAATCTTATGTCTTTCATCTTTATTTATTTGATTTAAGGTTAGCAAATAAACATCATTAGTAATATATCACAAATAGATGCAATGCATTATGCTCATGATTCTTCCTAATTCATCTTCTCTCTCATCCTCATTAGGGTTTCTTCTTTAGTCTTTAGATAGCATGTATAACATATGTAATAGTTAATAGTTAACACAACTCACCTTATATATTTCTCCTTTTTTAATATTTTTGTCTTTTAAGGCTTAAGTATGTTATCATCTCAAGTAATACACATTTGATAGCTAGGCTCACATACAAGTGAGGCATGTCCAAAATACCATCACTTTGGATAATGATCTTTTGTCTCTTATCACATCGTTGTCGTGAATAAACAATCATCATTCGATATGATATTAGTTTTTATCGAATAGAAACTACCTTGTTTCGCTGCTTTGCAAACATGCACCATCTTTATGATTTTGTGGTGTATTGAAAAAAAAAAAAAAACTATTTATACTGACATTAGAGACGATTGGATGATTTGTATAAACAAATAAACGAGATTATATTTCCTTAATGAGATGTTGGTTTGTTTTGAGTTACAAGATAGTCTGTAAGTTAAAATTGGAACCGTCACAATTTGCAGAATTAAAAGCTTTTATAAAATTTGCTTTTGATCTCGATAAACTACTCAAAATCAATCGACAAGAGCCGAAGTGCTAAGCTAAATTTTGGTCGTTCATTCCAAAATCCAAATTAATAGTCTCATTTGGGCTAGTTGGTTGGTTATTTGGATCATTCGAATACTGGCTTCCAATTTGGATATGAGTCATTAAGATTACTGGATTATCTTCAAAGCATTTAGGTTTTTTGGATAATTATATTATAGGGTTTTTCATCCTTGTATAATTAATAAACTAGAAAATATTAATAATATATATGCTTAATTCCGGTTTTAAACAAAACCCGATTGAAATTACACAAACGTAAAATCAACTTGGTTCGACTCAAAATGGACTTCGATATTCGAAGAAAGTCATTTTCTGTAAGTTTTATTTTCTTAGAATTAGTTAATAGTTATTTGTAAAATCATAAAACAAGATAGATCATTAAAATGATTTATTATATTTTTAATTTCATTTCTTTTTAATCTTTGAGTTCAATCCTAACTAGATATAAATTTCCAGGATATCAAAATCTGTAATTAAGATAAGCATCTAGCAAAAATTTTACGAAATAAAGAATAAAACAAAGATACATACAAAACAACAAATATCTAATATAAAATCATATTCGTAATTAAGATAGACCATTAAAATATCAAAAATAACATCTCTAAGATTATATAAATTTAGTCAAACTTCCAGTCAAAATAGATAACTCAACTCTCATCTCATCTATTATGTGGAGGCAAAGATGAGCCTTCGGTTTTGCATGGAACTGAGCTAACACTACTTGGCCTCTGTAGAAGTTCTCTAGCAAGCTCTTGTAGGTCACTAGTGCCACCCTGTGATGGTGGCATGTCTGCTAGAGCTCTGGTGGCGCTACCACTCATGAATTGACGAGGATCCATTTGCCTCATGATCGATGGTTGTGTGGTCCATGAAGGTGGCACCATGGGTTCAAGAAGTGACGAGAGGTCATAGGAACCAAGGAGTGATGTGGCGGTTGGGAGGTCATTAATGGTTATTCCATGTGGCAGAGCTGTTGAATGTGTTGCCGGGGGTGGTAGAGGAGTTGGACCTTCTAGTGTTGCTAGGTGGGCTTGGAAATAGGAGAGTTCCGCTTGTAGATTTACCACCTGTATCATTGTAAAATTCAGTATTTACATCATATGACAAATATACATGGTCGGTCCTGAAGAATAAAATATCATCAAAGGCCAGGACACGATCAAGAAAAAAAGGACCCCTATTGTTACTATAAGTTTTTATTTTCAAATAAATATATATAATCAAAAAAATTGGGCCCTGTGCAGCTGCCCACTTTGCCCCCCTCAACGCCCCCTATGCAAATATATTTATGAACAAAAATTATATATATATATATATATATAATATATATATATATATATATATATATATATATATATCCCCCTCAACGCCCCCTCAACGCCCCCTATGCAAATATATATATATATATATATATATATATATATATATATATATATATATATATATATATATATATATAACAATCAAATAATACATTAAATAAGAACACAAACGTAATTTTTTTTATAAAGCATTAGTAAATTCTATTTATAATGATAGAACATTCATATTCATGATTTGATATATTGTGAAAAGCAGTATATGTTATCTTTGGGCTTTTACGGACCGATCGATCACAATCAACATGTTAAAGCTTATTTTCTTTATCTTGAAAATTTACTAAATATCGTCATTATTATTTATTAGGTTATAAAGAGACACATTTTGATTGTATAATTGTTTTTCATGCTATTTTGAATTTCTCAAAACATTTAGATACTCGTGGATTTATATTTGAAAAGATTAAAATGTCGGTGTATTTGTTTGGTAAGATTTAAAACGGATATGATAGAAATATCTCATGAAGAATTAATTCACCCATTTTTACTTTCTAACGCAACTGAACATTTTCTTCTTAATTTTAGATAAAACCTATTTTAATAATAATAATTGATCTAGTTTTTTAACAACTAGATATTATTATCACCAACTAACAAAAAAAAGCTAAAAAAATAGAACAATTACAAAACATTTTGAATTATTAGGTTTTGCAACCATAAAGTCCAAGTAATAGAGCTTTTCTACATCTATTTGAGAACCAATCAAAAGTGTGAGTAAAAATACTATAAAAAAATGTTGCTTCTTTTCGGTCTAGACGTATGAAAGACGAAACTATTTCTATAACTCCAAATAAGTCAAATAGTAACAAAATAGTAACCTCGATAGCCTTCTTCTTTATACTTGGTAAAGAAATCATCTCCACCCAAGACAATAATTCAACAATAGAAAGGAAAAGAGGGAATTTAAGGTCTAAATATTGATCTTGTTGACGGATGAGGTTTTTTATAATCCGTTAACGAAGAGCTTTTTAAAACGAATTTGGAATTTGAAATAATTTTATTTAATGTTTTGCTACCAAACAATGAATTATATGGACTTTTAATTCCAAATCCATTAAAATCCTAGGAAATTCGTCAATCCAAACACCTCCTGATTTTGATGCTTTTTAAAAAAAAATTAAGAAAAGCTTTTTTAAGGGCGTCTCTAAGGATGGATGGTGTCGATGGTTCTTCATGACGGGTTCATTGTGGTACAGCCAACTACACGGCTTTGAGAAGATGAGGTACGACCAAATGGGAAAGGTCACAAGCATTAATATTTAGTAACAAAATTTAATCATTTCAATGGTTAAATTTTTGATAAAACTGCATAAATGGTCCCTGTGGTTAGCTGGAAATTGTCACTTTGGTCCAAAAAAGTTTGGACTAGCACCAGAGGTCCAAACTTTTCATTTTGTTGCAAGTTTGATCCAATTTGCTTTAAACTTTTTTATAATGACGATTTTACCCTTACCTTTTCCTTTTTCAATTTTATTTATGTATTTAAATATTTGATTGATTAAAAAAATAAAAAATAAATAAAAACAAAAAACAAAACTCTCTCTCTCTTTCATAAACGACCACTTTGTTTTTTTTTTTTTTTTTTTTTTTTGTGAAACCCAAAAGGAGGAAGCAGCCTCCATCACCAACTCATCGGAGAAACACCATCCAAACACCCCTCGTTGCTGCTTCATTCCCTGACCATGGCGACACCAAGAAATACCCCAACACCACCGAGGACCACCTTGCTCCACCACGTCACCATCGTAGCTGCCCACCACCCTCTACTCCCCCACTGCCTTTACCGATCAAACCCAATCCAACTCCCTTCCCTTCACTTCGTTCTCGTTGGAAGGAAATCAAAACAGGAGGCATCAAGGGCAGCAACGAGGACGAACCGAGAATGGGGGTGGCGCTGAATAGATCTGAAAAATCGATAGCGGGTTCGACTGTGCGCAATTTTCCCAAACGAGAATGAGGACGAAGACGAACAGATCTGAACTGATGGAGAAGACGAACCGAGAATGGGGATGACGCTGTAAACCGATCTTGACTGTGCGCAATTTTCCCAAACCGTTGTTTCTCTTTCTTCGTCGGATCTTGCTAGGGTTTTCCCTTCTTCTCCATCGTCGCTGCTATGATAGCGAGTTCGACTTGTTGAAGTAGTAACTCTACGATTTAGGGTTTGCCCACCACCCTCTACTCCCCCGTTTCCTTTCTCCGACCAGGTGGTGGTTTCTGGTGGCTAGTATGGTGATGAATGTGAGGAAGTTTGGTCTCCTGAACAGTGGTTAAGATGGATGCGAGACACACTCATCTCCTCGGATGTAATATGACCGGAGAAGATGAAGTTGTGGGTTGTGCCTGATGATGCTGAAATTGGTGAGGATGGCCTGCCAGAGGCGGCGGTCGGTGGTTTATGGTGGATGGTGGAGGTTTCTTTGGTGGGGAAAAAGAAATAAGGTACAGAGTAAAGGGGAATGGATTTCAACGAGAGAGAGAGAGAGAGAGAGAGAGAGAGAGATTTTTATTTTCTTGTTTTAGAGAGAGAGAGAGAGCGATTTATTTTTATTTTAATTTTCTTGTTTTTTTTTTAAATCAGAAAAACAAATAAGAAAAAAGAGAAAATCATATTAACAGGGACATATCCGTCATTTTGAAAATAATCAAAACAGATTGGACCAAAGACGCAAGAAAATGAAAGTTTTTGACCACTGGTGCTAGTCCAAACCTTTTTGGACCAAAGTGGCAATTTTCGACATACCACAGGGACCATTTATGTAGTTTAGTCTAAATTTTTTAATTTTTTGTTGCTTTTTTAGAAATTAAAAACTTTATTCTTATAACTCTCCTATGTTTTCTCATATGTTATATAAAATTTTCTTATATAATTTATATAAATCTACTCATATAATTTATCATATGTTATATAATATCTACTTATATAATTTATCATATTTAACAAAACTCATATTTAAAAAAAAAACATTGATTTATACTAATAATTAAATACATTGAAAACGATCAAATGTTTACAAAATGATTTTTAATCTTTGATTTTTTTTGAAGTTTTTAAAATTTTGACAAATAAAATTTAATAAGATGTATGTCTAAAAATATATCCATTTTTATTTTGTATTATTATATATATATACTAACTATACAAAAAACTAATATATATATATATATATATATATATATATATATATATATATATATATATATATATATATATTTGAAAGGCAACATATATTAAACAGAGCAAAAACCCAGCCAGGAACTAGGGCGTTCAAAAAAGAATTACATGGGATTGATCGATATTCTAGGAGATAAAATCCACAGATTCCTATCTATCTTCACTCTGTTGGCCTTACTGTCAATCCAAAGGAAAGACTCCCTTTGGATTTGGAGGAAAATATCCTCCGCCTTTTTAAAATACTTCTTAAAAGTTGTCTCGTTTCAAATATATATATATATATATATATATATATATATATATATATATATATATATATATATATATATATATATATGAAATTTAGGGGCCAAAATATAAAAAAGTTTTAATAAAATTTACCATCTTTATTTTTATACCAAAATGATATAAAAAAATATTAAGATGGTGATTTACTTCCGATCTATATTGTTTTATGTCATCTTATATACCAAAAAATACATTTAATTTGTATAAATTGTCAAAACACCTTTCAAATTTACTAGATTTTTACAAATATATTTATATCTTAACGATACACAATATATAAACAAAAGTGGTGCAATTAATTTAATTTAATTATATAAAATTTATAAATAATAATAACTTTATTATGTGCGTTGTTTATTTATTTTGTTTGTTAGTTATTAAAGTAATTATTAGTTGTTTATTTATTTTTTTTGTTAGTAATTAGAGTAATTATTAGTTATTAAAATCATAAAAGTCATTAAAACATTATTGCTAACATATTGTTTTATATATAAGGTCAATTATATAATTTGTAAAATTATTAAATTCATTAAAAATTATATAAAACACTACCTTGTAATCAAATTAACACAATCACTTACTTTTAGTTAAATAATGATTTACATATCATTTAATTTTAATATATCACTCGTTCGTATCATGTAATTGAGAAAATATAATATAAAAAGAAGATAGATGGTTCACCATCATAAGGTCTCTAATCAGCGGGGACGCCTTGGGCATTATTATGGTTATGGTGTGACTAATAGATTATATCGACATTGTATAAACTATACGACATGTATAACACATAATTTTATGGTTAGTTTAAAAATAAATTATTTAACATTTTTCTAATTTTGATTATGAATATTATTTCAAGTATCTAATGATCTTCTCATTATAATGTATTATGAATTTTAATATAACGTTATTTTTACTATTATTATTTTTAATTTAATATAACATCCGATTTTAAGATGTTTTCTATTTCGGGATAGCGGATCGTAATTTGATCAAATAAAGGTCTCAGGCTTCAATGGTCAAAATTGGGACTTTATTAGATGATTGATTATGTCGATTAAGTAATTTAAGCCCATGGTTTATGTATTGGATCCAAAAAGGGTAAATTGGAAAAAAAAAAACAAAGTGATATTTTTGGGATTTGTGCATGTATTAATGAATTAAGCTCTGTATCCATTGAGTCAAAAGTAAATGGATATAATTGTAAGAGTTGTTAATACCTTTGTGTATA